TTGATGCTTTCAAACTGTGGTGTTAGAGAAGCGTCTTAAAGAATCCCTTGGACAGCAAGGAGACCAAACCAGTCAATCCTAAAGGAAATCAACCCTGAATATTCACTGGAAGGACTGATGCTGAAGCTGAAGCTGAAGCTCCAACACTGTGGCCCCCTGATGTGAAGAGCCTACTCACTGGAAAAGACCTTCTTGCTGGAAAAGACTGAAGGCAGGAAGAGGGGATGACAGAGGATGAGACGGCTGGATGGCATCACTGACTCAATGGACATGCTGCTGCTGCTAAGTCGCTTCAGTCGTGTCCGACTCTGTGTGACCCCATGGACAGCAGCCCACCAGGCTCCTCCGTCCCTAGGATTCTCCAGGCAAGAATACTGAAGTGGGTTGCCATTTCCAACGCATGCATGCATGCTAAGTCACTTCAGTCATGTCTGACTCTGTGCGATCCCATAGACAGCAGCCCACCAGGATCCCCTGTCCATAGGATTCTCTAGGCAAGAATAGTGGAGTGGGTTGCCATTTCCTTCTCCACAATCGACATGAGTCTGAGCAAACTTAGGGAAATGGTGAAAGATAGGGGAGACTGGTGTGCTGCAGTCCTTGGGGTCGCAAAGAGTTGGACACAACTTAGCAACTGAACAACAATGATGGCTAGCACTTGGAAGGCTCCAGACAGGATATATGCTGTGGACCCAAAGAAGAGCAGAATAGAGCTCCTGCCCCTGAGAAGTACAGTCTAGACCAGGAGACAGTCACACAAATGAACTAAAATACAATGAGAAGCTGTATGACAGACATATCATCAAAATTCTATATCGACAGCTTCCACCTCTATAGTTTCATCATTTTATACACAGCCCTAGTCACGTTGCTAAATTTTTGTTTGACAGTCTCCTAGAAACAGTGAGGCTGAGATAAGGGCTGAGGAGGAGCAGGGGCGGGGGAGCAGAGGGGCTGAGGACCGCGTTCTGTTCACCTTTGAATCCTCTGTGCCTCACACAGAATCTGGCAGATCAAAGGAGCTATGTATATTGGATATATGGAGTAAATAATCATGCCCTTCCTAAGGGGTGGGAGGTAACCATGGGAAGCTAAAAGTAGGACATGGATGGACATTATCAGTGATCTTGAAACTCATCTCCCAGGCCGAAAGGGAAATGAACAGCATGAGCAAAGGCATCAAGTGGCAGGGCAGTCTGGGAGAGCCCTTGACGAGCAGTTTATCTGGGGAAGATGCCCAAAGTAAATTCAAAGCCTGAGGATATTCTGCCACTCTTCTGTCCTCTTGGGGATCCTCGGCCATCCTAAGAGACACACCCAAAGAGCTAGTTAGCCTCCATCTCCTATCGACCCATGAAGTTCACTGAAGGACTCGGACTTGCTAAGGACAGCTGCAAATCCTCAGAAATCACAACACTCAGAAGTGGTCACAAGAATGATACACAATACTCACTCGGGCTTCTTCATTTTCCTTCACTACAGACAAGATTAACTAGCATGCCCCCAATTCCAACAGAACTCAAGAGGAGACCACAGTGGTCATTCCCCCTGGTCTTGACTCAGATAGGCCAGAGCAATTATCTGGGGATTGGAACTTATAATATTTTTAGTAGGATTCAATAAAAGCGGTAGAAAACATGTCTCATAAGAAAAACAGCCCCAGTAATTTCATGCAAGGGGAATTACAAGTTCACAGTGATTCTGTGAAATATTTTACATAACAAGGCCTGCTCTTCAGCTAAATCGCAATGAATTTCAGACTGCTCTGAACCAAACCCTTTTATGTACATGGAAGGCAAAGAATAAAGTCAAAATGAAAATACTGTAGTTTAGTTTGTATTTTAAATTTATGAAAACTTGCTCAAGCGAGCTTACACACACCACAAACACATGCTCAGCAGGCTGAATTATCATGCTCCTCTTACCACTTTTTCTCACTGGGCCTTTTCTACTAAATTCTAAGCTAGACCCAGGCCATGCAGCCCCTAAGACAAAAAGTCTCTGGATCCATCTCATGCAGAAGACAGAGCTGCACTCCCCTCCTCTCTCCTGTATGTTCTGTAGAAGAGCCTGAGAGAGGGCTCCAGGCCCCGAGTGTCTATGGATGATGCACTGTTCTCCCCCAAAGAAAGAAAAGGGGATACATCCTGCCAATGATTTTATTTCAATACACGGTTTAAAATCTAATGAAAATTTCAAAAACACAGAAGAGTACAATAAGCACAAAATCTGGTCTGTGTTGTCTGAAACTTTAAGAAGAGAAAATATTGACTACACTATTCCTTGCATTAAATGAAGATATATTATTTTGCAGTCTATATAATAAACAGACATTCTTTGTGTCAAGAGAACAGGGTAAAAGAAAAAATGATGAACATGGAATTGAGGAGTGCTCTAAACATGGGAGGACATGTTGAGAGACAGAAGGAACACAGAGGGGAAAATCCTAGTACCAAACAAGCACTGTAAAGTAGGATGAACCAGACTGCCCTGGTAGTCCAGTGGTTAGGAATCTGCCTGCTGATGCAGGGGACATGGGTTCGATTCCTGGTCTGGGAAGATCACACATGCCATGGAGCAAGCCTGTGCGCCCCAACTACTGAGCCCACGTGCCTAAAGCTGGTGCTCCGCAGCAGGAGAAGCCACCACAAGGAGACTCACACCCCAACTAGAGAGTGGTGGCCCCCACTTGCCACAACTAGAGAAAGCCCGTCGACCAAGGAAGACCTAGCACAGCCTAAAATAAAATTTTAAAAGTTACAATGAACCTCTGGGAACATGGAAATTGTTCAAAGTCCACCATGATGAAGAGTTGACCAGGCTACAATGTCTTCTGCATCAAAATTTCAGATGTCCCTATGTGGGAAACATTCTATTAACATGTAAAGCCTGGTTCTATAATGAGTCACTAAGCAAAAGGACTTGGCAAAAATTACTTGACAGTGGTATCTGCAAAAAACAAAAAAAAGTTAGTTCAACTGATATTTACTCTGCATACTGTACTGATGTGCTCAGTCACAGCCGACTCTCTGCGACCCCATGGACTGCAGCCCACCAGGCTCCTCTGTCCACGGAATTTTCCAGGCACGAATACTGGAGTGGGTTGCCATTTCCTTCTCCATTACTCTGCATAGTGCCAGAAAAAACATAGCCTATAACTTCTTTACATTCTGCTTAACCTAGAAACATATCTATTGTAAGCAGGGTTACTATATCAAATTCATGCCATAATGTTTGCTTTCATCAGCAAAAATATTTACAAATAGGACAATGACATCAAACTTTGTATTAATATCTTTTTTAATTCAAATTTATTATGGCTTTAAGGAAACATTTGATTAGGCATCCAAGCTTTTGCTAAACCATAACATTTTAAAAATTATTCCTTTTGAAGTATTATTCAAAGCTGTATACACTTTATAAAAAGATAATGAGATGAACAATTCACGATTTTATGTATTCATGCACAGTGAAGAGGAAATGATACTGAATCAAACTCCCAAACCCAAATAGCTGGGTAACTCAGTTAAATATTTTAAAGCTGATTTGTGTGTGTGCGTGTACAATTTTTAGTTACTACCACACCATCTAAAACTGATCTGAAAGCTGTTGTCCAAATGTCTTCAAATTCCTCAAATTCTGTAATTCCATTTATTCTCTTTCTCAAATCAAAAGATTTAAACATACATAATTGAAGAACCAGTATGACCATTTTTCTCTTTAACAATAATATCTACTTCTGGATCAGCTAGTTAGCTGATCAGTCAGATTTACAGCTAACTGACAGGTAGAATCTGGCTTCCTCCCAAAGCAGCAGTGATGAACTCCCTGAACAGTGTTTTAGACAGGTGGGCCCTTGAAGTGTTCACTCCAGAAATCAGAAACATATGAGGTCATTTCCAAACACTGCACAAGGACCGACTTTAGAGAGGCCTCTTGAAGCTACAGCCACAGTTGCAGAGTTCATGATGCTCAAACATGCTGCTCTAGTCCAGCAGAGATCTGTGCAGAAAATAATCAGAGAAGAATTTTCCAGGAAATGTTTTAAGACCCAACTCAAACCCAAGATCTGGATTTAGTCTCTGACAAAAAAGACGTCTCCCAAACCTTTATTTTTCATTCCTGATTCTGTGAAAAGGAAAACCAACTTTAGTGTCTGTCCCACCTAGGTCCTCACTGCTTGAAGCTCAGGGCTTTTTCAGAAGATGTAATGACTTCCATTCTGTTTTTGAGGAACCAATGGGGTTTCTTTTCTCTGGAAATGGTTTTGGCTCCCCCCAGAATGTGTAACATTTCATTAATCTTCATAGCAGTCTTCTGGAGTGGGCAGGACAGGTGAACTCTCTTCATTTCACTGACCAGATGATTAGCAGATGACTTGCCAAGTGGCTCGCTATAAGCAAGGCTCTGATGCCAGAACCAAGTGATCGAGTCCAGCACTTCAATGTTTTTATGCAAAGGCACCAAAAAGGGGTGTGACTGCTAACTTACTAACAGATCTATTGATTTGAACAGATAGATAAAATCCACACATGAGTTATTCCCCTTGTATTAATCTAGACCAAAATCAAGAGTTGACTTGCAAATAAATCATGGCCACAAATTTGCCCTTCATTTGTTGTAGACTAGCAAACACCTAATTGGCCCTCACTAGGAAACTATTTTTTTTGATGGGCAAGAGAAAGGAACTTAAAAATCCACAGCTGCCATGAGAGTGACCTAAGAGAGAAAGCTGATAGAATCAAATAAGCCCTGGGGGAGGAAAGATTTAAAAAAATGTTCTCCAGGGGAGGGGAAAAAAAAAAGAATTCCCCAGGAAGTTACAAGGAAATGTATATTAATAACTTATTATCTTGAAGATTTTAAACCTAAGAAATGAAGCAAGCATATCATTGATGTTTTCCTACATGGCATATACATGTAAGTGACTATACTAATTAAACTAAGATTGTATGATTAAGGAGACTTACGATTATAATATACTGAATTCCTCTTTATAATTACTGCTTTAAATCCAGCAAAAGAGATTCATCATCCTCTACCTTCACCTGGGGTTTAAAAGTAACTTTTAGAGGCTCGGGGGTTGAGATCTCCCTGCCTTCTTGGGGAGGATGCGCGGCACTGGCCTCCTCAGGGTCTGTCTCACTGAGCGCCTCGGGGTAGAGCTCACCGATGCGGCCCGGGGCCTCGCCCCTGGCAATGATGTCCACCCCCATCTCCCTGACCTCTTCTGGACCCTCAGCCACTGCACGGTCTTTGGTTTTCCGAAGGCCACGCATCTTAAAAGCTTCCCTTGAGGGAGCAGCGTTGGAAATAGATTTCTTAAACCTCTCCCCCGACTGCCTCAGTCTCTCCCCAGACTGCCTCAGTCTCTCCCCAGACTGCCTCAGCCGCTCTCTCCTCTCTGGGGTCACTATTCTAGTCCTAATTCTGTTTACTTTCTTGTCAAAATTCTGCCGTGTCTTCTGCATGTTTTCTTTGGAAAAGGCCTTTTTGATGTTATCAATGCGCTCCTTGCCTGACTTTCTAAGCCTGGCAGACCTGCTCTCTTCAACAAAATATTCTTCGTCCGAAGACAGATCAACTGGGGTATCGAAGACTTCGTCCTCCTCCCCTGGACTCTCAATCAAGCTTCTGTCTTTCACGACAGACAGGGACGTCGGACACTGAACCTCCTCCTGAAGGAGAGAAAGCAAGCTTGTTAGCCATGGGTTCTTGGACCTTCCGTTCACACCTTTTCAATCTCCTCCACAGGTTGTTTATCCTCCACCCGCTCCTTAAATGCTGGTGTTTCTCACGGTTTCTTTTTCTTCATCTCCCAAGTTCACCCTGAGCAATGTTATGCACTGCTCTACCTTCAAATCCAATGGCAAGCAGACTCACAAATCTTCCCTTCACCTCTCCCCTTCCCCTAAGATGAAGACTCATTTCCAACTGGCAGGCAGACTTCTTCACCTAGATGTAACGCAGGCACCTCTAACTTAACTTATCCAAAAATCAAGACCTAACCATGACCCTTTCCTGGATCTCTCAGCACTAATACCTCCAGGTGTCACCCAGAGAGAAACCTCAGAATCACTGTCCCAAATATTCCCTGCTCTCATCCAACATCCAACTGGTCACCAAGCGCTGTCGGTAACACTGCTTAACAACTAATAATTCCTCTGTTCCCTACTCCTTCCTCCTTGCCTCTACCAGTGACTTAATTCAAGTTCTGTAATCTCAGGCCTGAATTTATGAAATAGCTTCACCACCATATCACCTAAGTATTTCCTGTGAAATGTTCCTAAAACATAATCTGATCACATCCTTCCTCTACTTTAAAACATTTGGGAGCTCATCAATACTCAAAGGACAAAGAGTTCAAATTCTTTAGTATAATTAGACGGCTCTTTGGTTTGAACTACACCTGCTTTCCCAGTCCTCCAGTCCAGCCACAGAAACACTCTGAGCCCCTTCAACACATGCTCTTCTCATCCCTCCACAGCTACGTATACATGGTTTTTGCTACCTTAATTAAATACCTTTAAATGCTCTTTTCAACTTTGTAAACAAAATCTTTGAGTCAAACATGCCCAACCTCCCCAAGAGACCAATTCTGTCTCCAATTTATACCCAAATGACACAAAAGTACTTCTTGTTGTTGTTCACTCAGTTAAGTCGTGTCCGACTCTTTGTGACCCCATGGAATGCAACACGCCAGGCTTCCCTGTACTTCAAGTTTGCTCAGGTTCACGTGCATTAAGTCGGTGATGCCATCCAACCATCTTCTACTTAACAATATTTTTCACAACTTGAATTGAACTGGAGCTCTACTCATTTATGTATATCTCCCTGGGGCCTTCACTAAATAATAGGTTCCATGAAAGCCGAGGTGTATCTTATTTATGATTTATGTCCAGCATCTATCAGAGTGCCTTGCACATAGTAGGTATGCTCAACAAATGACTGCTGGAACAAAGAAACACACGCCTTCATTCAACAAATTGTTACTAAGCACCCACAATGTACCAGTCAATATTCTAGGCACAGAGAACCTCCTATGAGTAAAACAATAAAAGAAACTATATTCTCAGAAAGAGAAATAAACAAGTTATTTATATATATGTTCGATGGTATAAATGTTAAGATGAAAAATAAAATGGGGAGTGGGGATACACTGGGGAAGATGCTCAGAAAGGTCTCAGAAGGTGACATCCAAGCCTAGACCTGAAGGCAAAGCATATCCCAGGGAGGAAAAGAGAAAGCAAAGAAGGCATCGTGACTGAAGCAAAATAGTCAAGGGTCAACAGAAGGAGAAAAAGTAAGAGAGGGAGCGAGAGGGCCAGCGCACCGAAGGCTCTGTAGCCAATAATGCTTGTGGCTCTTATTCCGAGTGTGATAGGAAGGCTTCTGAAATGTTCTGGGGAAAACAGTGACATGATTTGACTCATGCTGTGAAAGGGTCACCCTGTTGAAATGAGGCAGTCGAGGGTAGTGAGAAGCAGGGAGCGCAGGTAGAGACCACTGAGATCAATCGGGTGAGAGACGTCAGGGTGTTGGCAGAGGTGGAGGTGAGAAGTGGTCTGATTCCAGATCCACTGTGACGATAGGAGTCAAAAGGATCCACTGCTAGACTGAGATGTGGAGACGTCAGGGGTGATGATTCTCAAGTCCAGGGCCTGAGCAAATGAAGCACAGATTTGCATTTCACTAAGACTAGGAAGACAGTGGGAGGCAGAGACTGACTAAGATGCTGAACATGCCGACTTTGATGCCCACTGTACATCCATGCAGAGACGACGAGTAGGCAGTTGAATATGTAAGTCTGGAATTCAGGAGAGGTCTGGACTAGAGATTTATATCTCTAGGAGTCATTAACATAAAGATGAAACTAAAAATCATGACCAGTTGAAAGAGACCACCAAGAGATTGAGTGAGTGGGTCTACACTCCCATTACTCAAAACTCCTTGTAATCAACATACCTTTTAAAAATCAGAATATTTCAGATTTGGGAAAATAATATATAATATTCCCAGTGAGATCTTGGGAAGGAAAAAAAAATACAAACATTCACTCCAGGGTGGCAAAAAGAGTACAAATAGCCCCATGCTACCTGAGGTTGGGTTTTGCCTTCAAATGAGTTCAGGTCAAGTTAGGTCTTGCTGCCAAATAAATTACAAAAAACTTATTTTTAGAAATTTTTGAATTTTGGTGTTATAGACAGATAAATGGATTTTGGACCTAAAGATAAGAATGAAGAGATGAGAAAGAATCAAAATGGAAAAATATCAGCCAGTGAGGCAGGAGGAAACCCAAGAGAGAGGGACACCCCAAGAAGCCCAGGGGAATGAAGTTTTAAGAAGAAAGGGAGGACCACAAATGTGCAAAAGAGAGGAAGAAACGGAGGGAACAACTATGTCAATGTGTCAAAGGGTAAGGATGAGAACGCGACTGAACTGGCAGACACTAGTAACCTTGAGAATGAGCCCAAAAACACAGCTGCTAAAAGACCTCAATTCACTATTTACAGGCTACTTTTAAAGCTAAACCAGAAAAGCTTTAAAGACCATGAGATTTCGAACCGAACCCATGAATTTTTTTTAAAAGAAACCATGCTCCCAGGATTCCCCGGGGGTCCAATGGTTAAGAATCTGCCTTGTAATGCAGGGGACACACTGGTCCAACCTCCGGTCCACAACTAAGTCCATGCATCACAACTACTCAACCCACACGCTAGAGCCCACAAGTTTCAAACACCTAGCCCAGCGTGTGACAACTACTGGAGCCCACACACACTAGAGCCTGTGCTCTGCAACAAGAAAAGCCACTTTGTAGCGTCGTACAGCTATAGATTAGCCCCAGCTCGCCATAGCCCCCGCTGGCCACAACTAAAGAAAGCCCTGTGTAGCAATGAAGACCCACCAAAGAGAAAAAAATGAATAAATAAATCTAAAACAAAACAAAACAAAAAAAATGTAACCTTACTTTGAGATCCAGATTAAATCTATTCAACCAAAAAAATTTACTCTGTAAGAAATATATTCATATACATTCCAAAACCTATCAGTCAGCCTGATAGTCAAGAAGGTTTCCCCAGAACTTTATTTCTTTGCTTACTTACTTAGAATTTAATTATTTGGCTATAGGATTGGACAGTCTAGGAGCTTAAAAAAAAAAAGTCAGGGTGGGTATCTGATAGCTCTCTGATGAATCAGTTAGAAGCTGCAACTTTATTCCTCTCCTTTCCTGACCACCTGCTACGGGGAGCAGCTTCAGCAGCCCTGAGTGTGTGGGTGTAGACTGAGGAGGTATTAGGAACGGAGCTGAAGAATCATTACTGTTTGGTGAGAAAAATCTTCACAATCCTACTGTAAAGAAATCAGACCTGGCTAAACTCAGGAATCACAAACCCTTCTTCAACTGCACAACAAACTCTACAACATCAGGCTTAAAAACAAAACAGAGGTGAAGTCAGAGAAAGCACCTGTCTAGTGAATCTATTTGTTGTAACACCTATGCATCGGAGATATCATGAGTTAGTGGTGAATACACTATAATAATAATTGAAAACAATTAGGGTTGAATTATAGTTGATTTCCAAGTATAATTATTATGCACCTTTTCATGTAAAATTCTAGGTAAGAAGATGATTTTTGTAACAAAACAAGTACTATGAATCGGAGTATAGTAGCCATGATTATGAAAGTAATATAGCTAGGAGAATTCTGAATATTTACAAGTCCGGAACTTATCATTAGGGAAAGGCCTAATACCTCATTTGGGAAGCAAAGGCATGTGGTTAGTAAGCAAAATTGTTAGAAGGTATGATAATCCTCCTTCCTGGCTTTCATGGTGACAAGGTCACCAAGGTGAAAGCATGTTCAAAAAGAAATCATAATTGTATGATACAGAACAGATACTTTTTTCAAAGCCAATGTCCAGGATTAGGTAAAAGCTCCACTGTACACAACTGTGGGAAATAAAGTACCAATAGAGTCTGCCACCAAAAGATATATCCAGTGAAATCTTTTTGAGGAAAAACCCAAATGGAAAGGTAAGCATGTTACAGCTAAATTACTCAGCTTCAAGTTAATTTTAGTAGAAGCACAGTCTCAATAAAGACGTGTGTGTGTGTGTGTGTGTGTATATACACATGTATATATATATACACACATATAATTATGTGTATATAGACATATATTAACTATGAGAATAAATTTTAAGAATTTTGGGGATTCTCTGGTGGTCTAGTGGTTAAGATTTGGCTCTTTCACTGCCGTGGCACAGATTCAGTGCCGGGTCAGAGAACGGAGATCCCACAAGCGGAGCAGCCAAAAAAAATTGTAAGAATTTTAACTGCTATGAAGAAGCATATGAATGCTGTATGCTGTGTTCCAACATCTAAGAATCCCCAAATCCATTGGTAGTTGCCTGTATCGTTTCTTCACAAGCACTTTCAATTACATGAGATAGCCACTGCTTATTGACAAAGGGCTGCTTACTCTGCTCAACTTAATTTCACAGACTCTTCGTAGCATTATGCCTCTCAGTTGCTTTTTCATACCATCTTTTATTCATTTTAGTAACTGCTAGGGCTCAAAGAAAAGAAAAAAAGAGCAAGTTTCAGGGAATATAACTGCTAGGGCTCAAAGAAAAGAAAAAAAGAGCAAGTTTCAGGGAATAAACAGGTAAATATAGAAACAACTTTAAAAAAAAAGAATCGTATGTCAACAGACACACAAGAGACAATCAGGACTTCAAAAACTCGTTTTATTAAGTCACTGTAAACCTTGATTGTTACCGGGTCTACTCTTCACACAAAGGTTCTCAGGAGAAATGCTGGATACCAAGAATGTTTCCTGGCATGCCCCATGCAAGTGGAGCATGAGATATACCCATGACTGTTAATGCCCTTGGAAAAGTGAATTTAAGAATGAAGACTATATTCTTGTACTAAATCTAGACCCATTACATACACTGCTAAAGGCTTCTGACAGTAAGATGACAGGTGCGTGTGTGTGTATGTGTGTGTGTGTGTTCCCAAAAAAATTCTGGAGAAGAACTTTCAGGGACTTGGGCGGTGGGGAGGCAGGAAGAAATGGCAAAGCCAACCTGCCTACCTCTGAAATCAGCAACCTTCTCTTCTCATTCTTTCTCCTAAATAACCAACAGGCTCTTCACAACAAATCCAAAATACCACTTACCATGCCAGTGTAACCTTATCAGTCAACAGTGGGCTACAGAGAACTGACTAAAGTATAAAGAATCTCCTGGGGCATTAATGGCCCACATCCCTGGTATCTTACAAATACCCGCCCACATAATCCAACTGTGTTCCTATTTCAATTTGTTTTTATTCTTCTAGGCTTTTCCCCTATGCATTTGGGCATCCATCCATTTAAAAAATACAGCATGGTAACACTACATGCACCAGTGAACATCCCTGCACACATTCCTGATTTTACGCATCCAGCAAGTTCTTTGATGTGAAATTTTCAGGCCAAAAGGTTTGTGAATTTTTAAGGTTCCTAACACATACTACCAAAACCACCCTCCAGAAATGTACCAATTAATATTCTACTAGCAGAAAATGAAAGTGCGTGTTATTTCCTATTCTTAAACTCAGAATATGTCTCAATAACTATAAATATTTAAATAAGTGAAAGTGGAATTTTGCTCATTTATTTGGTCTTCTGTGAATTGACTGATGATGACTTTCCAATTTTTCTACCATGAGAGTTCAAGCGTTTCCCTTTTGATTTGTAAGAGTTTTAAAACATATAGTAGGTTTTAGGCATTTGCCATGAATGCATTCCTATCTCAAAAAACATGAGGGTTAAGTGCAGGGTAAGACAGGAACTTACACAATGTCACATGGAAACTACCAAATAAAATCAGCTAAGAGACATTAGAATCAAATACAAGGAATTACTTATGTGACTCCTATGCTTGTACAACTATAAGAAAAAACAGAACTGTCTGATTGTTCATTAAGAAATACTGTTTTGCTTATAACTGTGACTTACACATTATTATATACAAAAAATTCAATAGACAAATTAATTTCTGCAAAGTTTACATTTTACTGTTTAGGGCTTTCCAGGCTCTCCAGAGCAAGGGGAAGAACCACACTGAGGGGCTACAGGTCCTCAGTTTCTTTTTTTTTCCCATACAACTAAGAGGTGTTTTAAACTGGAGGCTTCTTAGCTATCTTCTAGTTCTAACTTTCTTAAAGGCTATGAGAGGGCACCATGCTAATATGGCTAATATCCCCAAAGCGGATTACCAATATTAAGTTTCAAAGGCAAGAAATAGACTCAGCTATGATCCACAGTTCATATTACATGGAATGGCTGAGAAACTCAAAACACTGACAAGATAGTTAACAGAGAAATGGCTTTATCCTGAGATCCCTGTTGATACAGAACTCCACCACACACACGTATACAACAGTAACCATGTGACACTGGAAACTCGGATAAGACATGCTGGCCATTAAAGGATGCAAAAGATTGCAGTCATCGAGTTAAACACACAGCTTACCTGGAATATGACCACACGGAATTTGTTCTTCTTCATTATTTCTTCTTGCTTAGCTTCAACTTTTTTAACGTGAGTTTGTTGCTTCTCCACCCGGGCCTTCACGTCTTTAATGTGAGCACTGACCTTCCGGGTTTTCTCAAACAACTTGTTAATGACATAGCCCGTGTTGCTGTGCGACTGTGAAAACTTGAGCAGGTCAATCTGGACGGACTTGATGGCATTCTCCATCACCCTGTGTCTCTCCTCTATCCGCTTCTGGCTGGCCTGCACGCTGTCCACAATGGCAGCGACTTTGTCCAGCACGGTCACAATGGTGAGAGCGGCATCTTGGTCTTCATCTTCCGTCACATTCGACAGGCGATTCTGGTGGATTTTATCAGCATTTGAAGCCGACCCATTATGCTCCATTTTAATTATTTCTCAGTGAAAGATGTCTTACCACAATCAATTCTGGCACCGAGAGCAAAAAGTTAGCTTGATAACGGGCAACAGGGTTGCTTAAAGGGTTGGAAGCCCCGCCCCTGGAGGCTGGTCAAGTATTTGTAACTACAAATACCCATACATGACTGTTCTGCAATATGAACCCTCCCAAAGCACTGGGTGCTGTTCCAAACATGCTTACTGACTGACTAAAGGGCTCAAATAAGACTGTGTGGGTAGAAGAGGGAAGCTTCTTAAAAAGAAAAGTTCCCTAAAGCCACCATGTTACTAATATTAAGCCTAGAAGCCAAATAACTAAATAAAGCAAACTTTAAGTGATGGGTGAAGCCTTTTGCCTTTAGACAATTTCAAGCATTATTTATAAAAAGCAGATGGGAATTCTGAACAAAAATCTGTTTTTTTCATTAATCTCACATATTAAATGTACTGATATATCAATATCAAAGAATGCAGTAAATAAACACACCAAAACAGAGGCCATATAGTGAAAACATTATATTATAACATGCTTTTCCAAACCAAATATTAAAATTAATATTTTGAACATATTCTTAAATTCTACATGCATACTTCTGAATACCTAAACTACATGTTAAACAGCTGAACACATTCTATTCACACTTCAGATCTTTAAACATCAACAATCTATTAGTATAGCTATTACTACAGAACAAATTTGGAGAGAGGTCTGAGATGATTTTTAAGCTCACACAAAGAGCACCAATTGTTAACAATCATTTTTGCATTTTATTCACAAACACTGATACCATTGGTTTATTTATGTTAAAACAAATACTCTCTTTAAAAATGAATGTGTATTAAAGTAGTTTAAATGACAGAGTAGGCTTTATTCCAATCTGTTTGTTGAACAGACTATTTTCACAACATCTAAGTCTACTTTTCAGTGATCCATTTCATCATTGCTACCATATACTTTTAAAAATTAATTCAGAATTATTTTTTCAAAGAGAGAAATGATCAAATTCCAGTCCATACATCTTATAAATATTTTACATCTAACACACACAACTTTATAGTTCATGCGATAGGCAGTGTCTAAAAAATCAGTTAATAAATCTCAAAAACATTGAAATGTCTAAACACAGTGTCTTCTAGATTTTTTTTTTTTGTAAGAAAAGTAATCTGTAAACATCTTTACCTTTAGTTCATGCTTGGTCATTTGCTGTGGTCATTGTGGAAGAAGTGGGTATGACTTTGTAACCATTTGTGAAGTGGTCCATCTTTGCAAAAATATTACATTCCATGGATAAAGAACAAGTCTTAGAATTACCATGTGGTACAAATTTGTGAAATCAATTTCTGTATTTAAAAACATAAAACAAAGACTACTAAACAGTCCAAAATTGTTGTAGCTGAATATTCTAAATACGGGCCAACAGTACTACACTAAAAATGTCCAAAAATAAGGCCTCTGAAATAAATATTTCCATTCTTTAAAAAAAGACATAATAAATGTACATCACATGGTCAGTGTACATATAAAATTCACCAGTTCAAACCATTCTGGATGACGTATCTGAAGTAAAATGACCTAGGTTTTGCTTCTGTCGTCGTCCTCTATTATTTTTAGGGCATTTTCTGTTAAGAAAAAAGGAAAATGTCATTTTGTTTAGGATACTTCAAATGTTTCCAGGTTAATACACACTCCACACATAAAGCCATATTGCATATGATCACATGAAAGGGAAACAGATGCTACTTGATGACAGACCATCATGTCAGACTGCCGTCTTTCCTACAAAGCTGGGAGGTGACAGGATTAGACATGCAATGCAGGTATAAACACAAATGAAACTCACTCCCAGGGTCTCCCACTGCGTGTGCATCCCCAAGAGAAACTGCCACCCTTCTTCTGGCCTGGCAATTACAAAACCACAGTGACTGGTAACATGTAAACGTGTGATAGTAGAAAGGATCCTTGCTCATGTACTTTCTCTAAGCACGACAACACCCTCAAAATGATAAGGAGAGCTTAGGTGAAGGAGAAATCAGGGAGAAATGTTGCTTATTAACCTCAAATCAGAAAATACAGGAAATGCCTAGTTATTTTAGATGGTAACTCAGAAGTCGTTCAACACCCTGCTGAGACAAACCACAAAAGCCAGGACAGAACCAGGGGGTAAGAGCTACTTCTCAGCCTGCTCATACAGTTCTGGGCATGTTTCTCTGTGGTGCGTTAAAGCCTGTCATGCCATGTGCCTGCCCACTGGAATGTAAACGTGACCAGCTCTCACTGTGGACAAAGCACTACATACTACACAACGCGGAATAAAGGAGGCTGGATGAGCTCCAGTAATTCTGAGTTTAGGCTCTGCTAGAAACTAGCTGTGCAACCCCCCTTTTTCTATAAGCAAAATATTAAGAGTTGGACTAACCTCTAAAATCTCCTCCAGCAAGAACTTTATAATCTAATGGTAAGAAAGTCTTGAGACAATGAGAACTTCTACCCTAAAGTTCCAGGTTTTTACCCATTTTCCAAGAGCACGACTTTGTCTTGATGTAAAAGCCTTGACGGTAACACTTCCAGTTTACATACTGTTTTTCACAAATTTTACCTTACTTATCCTCATAAAAACAATTGGAGGTAGACAGGGCTGGAATCAACTCCATTTCTCACATGGGAACGCTGACTGGGAGGGATGGCAATCTTCAATTGTCACAAACTCAAAGTGAAACCAGACAAGTTCCTGAGACCAGGGGTTTTTTTCATCTACACAATAAGGGGGTTTGGCCAAGGTAATATTCAACATGAAAGAAGATGCCAAGCATAAGAGAAGAACATGTCACTCCTGCAGTCTTCATAAATGTGTCAGTGGGAACATCCCTTTAAAGGAAGATTCCTCACATGTAACAGTCACCACAGGATAAGTGAACAGCTGTCGCAATGGACTGTGTGGGAGAGGCACTCCTTAAAAATGCAGTGCAGGTCAGCCCACGTGCATAATTATAATATCCTCAAGCGAAGGGAGCAAGACATTCTAGGGGTGAAAATGCCATAATAAAAAGGCCTCAGGAAGAGATCTATGATAAATTCAATGAGACGACCCTTCAGACATAGAGACAGAGGGTAGTGAGGACACTGTAACAGTTAAAAATAAATATAAGGCAATGCCTATGTGTCTGTGAAGGCAGCAAATGGACTTGGGATAGAAACTGCTGCTGCTGCTGCTAAGTCGCTTCAGTCATGTCTGACTCTGTGTGACCCCACAGACGGCAGCCCACCAGGCTCCGCCGTCCCTGGGATTCTCCAGGCAAGAACACTGGAGTGGGCTGCCATTTCCTTCTCCAGTGCATGAAAATGAAAGATGAAAGTGAAGTCGCTCAGTCGTGTCCGACTCTTAGCGACCCCATGGACTGCAGCCTACCAGGCTCCTCCGTCCATGGGGTTTTCCAGGCAAGAATACTGGAGTGATGGGATATAAACTAGAGGTTACTAACTTGAATTCTCTGGCAGCTTAGCTGGTAAAGAATCTGCCTGTAAGGCAGGAAACCAGGTCTAACCCCTGGGTCAGGAAGATCCCCTGGAGAAAGAAATGCCGCACTCCAGTATTCTTGTCTGGAAAATCCCATGGACAGAGGAGCCTGGTGGGCTACAGTCCATGGGGTCACAAGAAACAGACACGACTTAGCGACTAAACCACAACCACCACTAATTTGAAAACTACCTGCAAGGTAATTTTAATTTAGTAGCTGAGGATTATGGCACAGTGAGAATTGAGGCAAAGAGCTGAACAGAAGGCTGGATAGGATTTACAAAAGGGATTAACTATCTCTCTGCTCTTGGGTGAAGTTTTCCCAACCTAGGGCACCAATTTCCTCACTTCTCTAGAATGAAGGGGTTGAATACAAAGTAACTTCTTGCTGACTCTAACATCCTTCAATCTTTAAGGAACTAAAAATCACTGGGCCTCAAAATCTTCCCTTGCCTTTATCTTATTACCTTATTTCTTTCATTCACCTTCCAAATCATCTTTTATTCCACTCCTGCTTTACTCTAATAACATCCTAAATGGCCTTCCAAAACCTCACATTTTCTCTCCAATAAATTTTTCAGATGACACACAGAACTAATGCTCTGGGAAAATGATTCACACCAAGTCCGGCCCCTGATGCAAAACCCCGAACTGCTACAAAATCAAGTCTGAATCGCCCTCCCACAGGAGGATCATACTTAGCAAATGTATTTCCCAGGATCACTTAACATGGACCCCCCCTCCTCTTGGTGGTTCAGCGGCAAGAGGAATGGTTTAGCAATCAGGCAGCACTGAATCCAAATCCAGACCCTTTCACTTACTAGCTGGAGGACCACAGGCAAACTGCTTCACCTCTGAGCCCATGTTAAACAGCCACAGGCAGCCCTGCTGTTACATGGTGGGTCTATTTTTTCTATATTCTCTTTCTGCTGTCATTATTTTTTTATAACATTATGTCCCTACTTTAATCTACTGCCCAATTTCATATTCAGTAGTCTTGCCTAAGGGCAGATCATCTGTTCTATAAAGTCCACTGGCTTTTAGCACTTGTAATTTATGAAAAATATGTTATTCAGAAAAGAGTTTTTCATCATTTCTAGATTCATCATTTTAGCTCCAGATGGCTAAGAGCACAGAAGGTCTGGCTTCTCCCCAGACTTCAGAGAGAAGAGCCATAAATCCATTATGGCCTGCCGATATCTGCACTTGATATAGTCCAACCCTCAGCCCAGAATAATGCAGAAATGTATAGAGATGTTGTTTATGGGAGTCTGGACCAAACTGAAAGGAAGAGGTAAGTGAGAAGAAAAGACCTGAGACTCAGAAGCATAAAGATGAACAAGATGAAAACTTAATCTTTGAGTTCTCCAAGGTCCAGTTCAGTTCTGACTTACATATTTCCACTCAGCCTGGAAAACACCTCTTTTTAGGCCAACTGCACTCCAAGTATGCCCTTTACTTTGGGGTTCAGTTATGATAAACTCCCAATGGTTTTAGTTAGAGTATTTTAAAGTTTACTACTCATGACTGTATTCCAGAAAATGAAGTAATGCTAAGACAACACATTTAAAAAAAAGCAGTTTTCTTTAACCTCTGATTTCTTACCTTCTTGTATTTACTATGGATAAAGTATATTCTTAGGGCACAAGACCCAATCAGTTCTGCAGGACTTAGAAAGTTCCTGCCTGGCTCTTCAATGCATGTGCAGACCATCCTGCTACCATCATTGTCCCAGAAGGCAATGTTTAAGTGGACACATAGTTCTAAGATCTCAAAATTCCTTTATGCCACTAAATACCCTCAGGCTTCCTCTGTCTGAGCCTAGATCTGCCTGTAACCCTGGGAATGAGTTCTTGACCAAATTCTAAAGCAACACGATGGGGAGAGGTCAGACCTACATGGGTACCTTAGAGAACTAATTCTAGGGTTTCTTCCTAGTATACTGATAGATGTCAAGCCCCCGTTATCTTGAGTGCTTCAGGATTCTTTAGCAGCCACCCACCTCTAGCTGGAAGTTGGTACTCTGTAGGCCGTTACCTACCTGGTTATGCACATGACAATCGCTACTATAATGGCAATCTGCACCGCTCCAATAACCGCTGCAATGAGAACATGAGTGAGCTTCTGCCTGCTTGGCACTACATAGAGAATACTAAAGTCTGTCTTTTCACAGTGCTGTCCAGTGTAACCGGAGTCACATCTGAGAAGGGGGAAGAGAGAAAAAGGACTCCTGTGAGATTTATAAACTCAGAAATTCCAGGTTTAAAATGAAAGCACATAAAAGAAACAGCAAATCAGGCACTCGCCCACCATCTGAAAACACACTGTCATTATTGTATTTCCTTACACTCTTTTGGATACGACTATTCTACAAAGTGCTTCTTCCACTTACCATTATATCCCTTTAATTTAAAAGCTGCTAAGTAGTCTTTGTTACTGCCATTTAAAGATGGACTCACAATATCCCAATCAGTGACTTAAAATACAGCAGACTTACTTATTCCTTGCTCTTAGACATGTCAGTTATTTTCCATTTTTCGGAATTATGAGTTAGGTGTGGTAGATATTATGATGACTGTGCATTCTACATTTAGTGTTATCCCTTAGGCTAGATACTTGAAGTGGGATTACTGAATAAGTAGTTTTATAGACATTTACAGTTCTCTGAACATAACACCAAATTATATTCAGGACACTTCTCAGTGTACATAATATAATCATTTAAAGCACAAGAGGAGAGATGAAAATAAGTTATTAATGACAGAAGCAGAGCTAAGCAGGCAAGTAAGTACAAATCTTAGAAATTATCTGAACTCCAATTAAGAGTAAATAGAAAGGCAACAAGATCAGCTGATGATAATTTGACAGGGAGAAACATTTAAGATACTTAATAGAAAACTCACATTTTTTAGTTGACACAAGGACAGAAGTGAAATGTGTAAATTCGCCAGCCTTTGGTTACAAATGATTAATAAAACATTAGAAGTCTAAGGATAGAGTACTTATTAATGTCCCACATTTCATTACAGAAAAATAATTTTAAATAAAAAGACACATAGCAAGGGGCTTCCCTGGTGGCTCAGACAGTGAGAAAAAAAAAAGAATCCACCTGCTATGCAGGAAACCGGGTTCAATCCCTGGGCTGGGAAGATCCCCTGGAGAAGGAACGGCAACCTACTCCAGTGTTCTTGCCTGGAGAATCCCATGGACAGAAGAACCTGGTGGGCTATAGTCCATAGGACTGCAAATAGTCGGATCTGACTAAACAACTAACACACACATACGCATAACAAGATAGAAATCTGAAAGCACAGAAACAGAGGGATGTGAGTCCACAAATCCGACCCTTGGGGGTCCCAGACACCTGCCAGAGGTTTCATACTGCTTCCTACCAGACAAAAAATAGCAGTTTGGTAGATACATAGATCATAAACATAACTGAGAGCCCAGAAATACACCTTTACATCTATGGTCAACTGATATTTGGAAAAGGAGCTAAGATAACTTGATGGGAGAAGAACAACAGTCTTTTCAACAAATGGTGCTGGGACAACTGGACATCCACATACAAAAGAATAAGAGTTGGACCTCTTCCTCATAGCATACACAAAAATTAACTCAAATGGATCACAGGTATAAATGCAAGAACTAAAACTATAAAACTCTTGGGCAGGGAGAAAAGTAAATATTCATGACCTTAGATGAGGTGTGATTTCTTCATATACCATCAAAAGCACAAACAATAACAAAGTTAAACTGGGCTAAATCAAAATTAAATCTTTTGTACATAAGGACACTATCAAGAAAGAAAGTGAAAAGATAACCCACAGGAGAAAATTTCTGCAAAGTATGTATCTGATAAAGAGATTTTTATCTAAAATATATAAAAAACTATTACAACTCATTAACAAAAAGAGGGAAAAAGTACAAAATAGACAAATGATCTGAACAGACATTTCTCCAAAAAAGATATATAAATGACAAATAAGCACTAATATCACTAATTGTCATGGAAATGCAAATCAAAACCAAAATAAGATGAAATGTCTAGCATACCCACTAGGAATCAGAAAGTCAGAAAATGACAAGTGTTGGCAAGGATTCTGTAGGGAACATAAAAATGATGCAGCCACTTTTAAAAACATTCTGGCAGTTCCTCAAAAAGTTAAATACAGTTAGCATTTGGCTGAGCAACTCCTAGGCATTTACCCAGTGGAAATGAAAACACATGTCCACACAAAAACTTGCAAACAATTATTCAAGGGAGCATGATCCATAATAGCCAAAAGTGGAAACAATCTAATTATTTTTCAACTAGTAAGTGGATTAAAAAGTGTGGTATTACCCATCTAATGAAATACTGTTCAGCCACAAAAAGAACAAAATATTGATACACGCCACAACATGAATAAATTGTTTAACAGTATGCTAAGTCAAAGACAGACACAGAAGACCACATACTGTATGAATATAATCTACTGAAATGAAATGTCCAGAATAGATAAATCTATAGAGACAAAGAGTATTAGTGGCTGTCTAAGGCTCAGGAAGATGGGGAGATTTGGGAGTAAAGGATATAGTTTCCTCAGGGTGATGAAATGTAAAACTGACTGTAGTGACCACACAACTCCATGAATATACTAAAAGCCATTGAATAAAGGAAAAAAGTGGGACAGGAGATGAGAGGTGAGGGGAAAAGGAAAAGAGATAAAATCATTGATATAAAATACAATCTCCACAAAACGAAATCAAGCCAGTTGCTCAAAAGAATAACAGTAACTGGACAAACACATGCACCAGGATGAGACCAGAGTATTTCTTCATACCATACACAAAAATAAACTTAAAATGGACCAAAATTAAATGTAAGACTTGAAAACCATGAAACACCTAGAAGAGAACACAGGTAGAACATGCTTTGACATAAATAATACCAATTTTTTTTAATCTGTCTCCCAAGGCAAAAAATAAAAGCAGAACTAAACAAATGGGATCTAATTAAACTTAAAATCTTTTGCACAGCAAAGGAAACCATAGACCAAACAAAAAGACAACCTACTGAATGGAAGAAAATATTTGCAAATGATATTACCGATAAACAGTTAATATCCAAAATATGTAAACAGCTCATATAACTCAATATGTAAAAAAACCACCCAAACAAAAAATAGGCAGAAGACCTGAATAGACATTTCTTTTTCAAAGAATATATACAGAGATGGCTAATGAAAAGATACTCAACATTTTACTAAGATATCACCTCATAGCTGTCAGAATGGTTATCATCAAAAAGTTCACAAATCACAAATGCTGGCAAGAATGTGGACAAAAGGGAACCCTTGTATACTACTACTGTTGGAATGTAAACTGGTGTAGTTGCTATGGAAACCAGTAAGATTCCTCAAAAAACCAAAAACAGATCTACCAAATGACCCAGAAATTCCACTCCTAGGCATACAGAAAAAACAAAAACACGAACTTGAAAAGATACATACATCCCAAAGTTCAGGGCAGCATCATTTACAATAGCCGAGTTACTGAAGAAACCCAAGTGTCCACTAAGACAAATGGATAAACACACATATACACAATGAAATATTCCTCAGCAATAAAAAATAATGAAATTCTGCCATCTGCAGCAACATAGATGGACCTAGAGAATATTACACGTAGCAAAATGTCAGACAAATATTGTATAATACCACTTTTTTGTGAAATCTAAAAATTAAAACAAAGAATGTATATAGCAAAAAAGAAACAAATTCACAGGTATAGGAAACAAACAGTGGTTACCAGTGGGGAGAGAGAAGGGAAGAAGAGCAAGATGGGGTATAGGATTAAGAGTGACAAGCTACTATATATAAAATAGATACACAACAAGTATACTGTAGAGCACAGAGAATTATAGCCATTATTTTGTAACAACTTTTAGTGGAGTATAATCTATAAAAACACTAAATCACTATGTTGTATACTCAAAACTAATACTGTAAATCAACTATATTTCACTTTTAAAAAACAAATCAGTTGCTATTTTTATTAAATTTAAGGGAACTTTATCTCATAAGTCCTCATATAAAGAGGGTACTTTCCGGGAATTTCCTTGCAGTCCAGTAGTTAAGACTCGGGGCTTTCGCCGGCCTGAGTTCAACGCCTGGTCGGGAAACTAAGAACCCCACAAGTGACACAGCCTGGCCCCCCACCCCCAGAAAGGGTACTTTCTCATCCAGAGAGCATCATCCTCAACAATACAGCTGTGATAAATTCAACAATATAATGAAGTCTCATAGGATTTTTTAAAAGAATATACTTCATGGCAGGCTAACAGCCCAAAGTCAAAGCTCAGTGAAATAAAAATAGTTCCACAGGGAGCTATAACAATGTCCTAGATACATAGTTGACAATTAAGCTTAATTCAAAAATTAAAGATCCGAGTATCAAAAAGAATGTATAGACCATGTTTCACACATGCAGTTCCCCCTGGACATCATTCCTGCACCTGACTATTGGGTTATACCCTCCAAATACCTGCAGTATTAAATTCCAGGTTAGCACTACTTCCTCTGTGGCTGATTAAAGGCACATCCAGGCATCTGGTTCTCTCTTGCCTGTTCTTTCATGTCCACACCCTCCATGGTAATCTCATCATGCCCACAGCCTCATGGGCTGACTCATTCACTCATACATTTAACCTGCTTACTGAGTACATGTGCCAAGTACTGAGGTGGGCATTAGGAATACATCAGGAACAAAGACCCCTGGCTTGTTTATCCTCTAGTAGGGAAGGGAGGGTCAATAAACACGATAAGCAAATTAAATGGTTATGTTAGAAGGCAGAATTAAAAGAGAACAAAGAGAAAGAATTAAGGGGTATTATGAGTGCCAGATATGGGCCAGGAAGGGAGCCCTGCAACTTTAAGGAAGATGGTCAAGGCAAGCTTCAGGAAGAGACAAGTGAGTAAAGATGTGAAGGGGGCCAGGGAGTCTGCTGTGTGGACAAGTGCAAGGAGAGCATAACAGGCAAAAGAAGAGCCAGTGCAAAGGCCCTGAGGTGTGTGCATGAGTGCACGCTGTGTCCAAGAAAGTGTGGCTGGAACGGGCCAGCCAAAGGGAAGGAGAGGACTGACAGAGACGTGAAGGGGCCCGCCTGCCAAGGGCTCCTCACTCAGGAGACGGAGGAGCCGCCGGAAGGGCATCAGCGAAGGGAAGACAAGAGGTGACCTTTATTTTAAAGTCTTCCTCTGGCTGCTGTGCTGAATATGGACTATTTAGGATACAATCAGGAAGGCTAATGCATAATGCCAGAGGGGAAAATGGTGCCTGGACTAGGAGTAGCAGTGACAATGCGAAGTAATCAAATGCTGGATATATTCTGAAATGGAGCTAACAGGACACCTGAAATGACTAAATGTGGAGTATGACAGAGAGACAAGTCAAAGTCATATCAGAGGTGTTTTGTCTAAACCAAAGAGAAGATGGCATCAGCATCAACTGAGATGGAGAAGGTAGAGGCAGAACAGGTTTAGGAGAGGGAGGGCAGATCCGGAGATCAGCTTAGGTTCTATTGAGCTTAAGGTGTCAGATGCTCGTGTGAAAGAGGGCAGTGAGGAAGAGTCCCAAGGTGAGAGAGTGGCCTGGGGGTCATCAGCATACATCAGGCAAAGCCCTGATGCTGGCCGGAGTCACTGAGGAAGAGGACCAGGGTGGACTCTGGCAGCATGCCAACACTGAGAGACCGGGACGCAAAAGAGGGGCCAGGCAAGAGGGCTGACAGAGAAGCAGCCAGTGAGGAAGGGGAAACGAGGAGAGCGTAATCCCTTAACCAAGTGAAGAATGTCACGCAGGAGGCTGGACAACACTGATCATTCAAAAGTCATTTGAGACTGAGAAACTGACTGATGAATTTAGCAACAAGAACAGTCTCAGTGAAGTGCTGGGGCGCAAAAGCTCACTGGGGTGAATTCACGAGACAGGAAGCGAGAAACTGCAGACAGACTACAGACAACTATTTCCAGTTCTTCTACAAAGGAAAGGACAGAAATGGGACCGTAGCTGACAGACGTGACAATGAGAAATGCCTTTCAAGATAAAAGAAATAAAAAGTAACTTATAAATGTATAAAAATATATGAATAAAACAATATATGGTTAGAAGAAAACTGGGGAGCATTGCTGGCAGTGATAGTAAAAAGCCTGTGAGTGTTCCCTTCATACTCCTTCAGTTTTCTCATTGAACTTGAACACAAGATCATTAACAGACTGATGATGGGAGGAGGTGCTGACAGTCTGAAGAGAGGGTGGATGGACGGTAAAAGCAGTCATTTTATCTAGGAGCGGAGGATGAAGGACCGCAGTTATAGAGTGACTGCCGGCAGCATGCAGGGCCCACTCTGTATAACGGTGCAGAAGACCAGTTAAAACCTTGTGGGTGTAGGTATGCAGCAGGCGGGAGGCTGGAACGAACCAGGATTATAGTGTGAAGTGCGTGTATGATGAAGCAAGGGAGGGACTACAAGGATTGACCATGGAATTAAGCTGAGTAAGGAGGCAACGAGGATATGCACTGAAAAGGTGAGAGATTAATCAACTGGAGGCCCAGTGGGTGGATGGACTGCTGTAGGAATTAGATGGGATACGCTAAAGACCTCTGCCAACAAAGGCCCATATAGTCAAAGCTATGGTTTCTTCCAGCAGTCATGTACGGATGAGAGTTGGACCATAAAGGCTGAGCGCCAAAGAATTGATGCTCCTGAACTCTGGTGTTGAGGAAGGCTCTTGAGATTCCCTTGGACTGCAAGGAGATCAAACCAGTCAGTCCTAAAGGAATTCAATCCTGAATATTCACTGGAGGGACTGATGCTGAAGCTGACGCTACAATATGCTGGCCACCTGATGAAAGAGTTGACTCACTAGAAAAGACCCTGATGCTGGGAAAGACTGAAGGCAGGAGGAGAAGGGGATGACAGAGGATGAGACAGTTGGATGGCATCACCAACTCAATGGACACGCGAGTTTGAGCAAGCTCTGGGAGATGGTGAAGGACAGGGAAGCCTGGCGTGCTGCAGTCCATGGAGTCGCAAAGAGTCGGACACGACTAAGCGACTGAACAACAACAATGCTAAAGATGGAACGATTCCCAAACACATCTTCAACGTGCACCTGTCTCATGAGTTCCAAAACCACAGATACCCAGGAGCCTACTAGATAAGTGGATGCCCCACAGACACTTGAGATCAAGCATTATTAAGCTCAGAACATCATGACCCCCCAACCTCCATTCCCCTCCCCCTATTTCCTTTCCCTCCTCAATTCTGCATCAGCTAGAAACCCAGCAGACTCTCTTGACTCTTCCTTCCCATGACCCTCCACCAACTCTCTGCATTCCCATCCTCATACCCAACCAGTCACCAAAACCTCTGGAGTCACCACCTATACTCCCTACAACTCGGTCCTCATTTCAGTCCCACTCTAAGACCTTTACCTGGTTCAGGCTCTCACTCCTCACTAACAGGCTCCTAACCTTCAGTCTTCTAATCCGTTTTTCACCTAGCTACCTGGATGGCTTTCAGATCTGCCCATATCCTTCTCATTTAATTCCTTAAATGGTTTGTCTTTGAAATAAAGGACATGGGAATTCCCTGGAGGTCCAGTGGTTAGGACTCTGCGCCTTCTGTATGGGCCTGGGTCCCATCTCTGGTTGGGGAACTAAGATCTCACAGGCCATGCAGTGTGGCCAAATTAATTAATTAATCAGTTAAAGGACAATCTCCTGGTATGGCACAAAAGTCCCCATAAGACCTGCCCCCTCCTCCCAGGTTGAAGAGCTCTCTTGAAGTCTCAAATCATCTCATGTATATCTATGTATGATAGCATTTTTCATATAGTATTACATTTAAATTATTATTTGTCAGTTGCTGCCACCAGACTGTAGGTTTTTTTGAAGGCTGGATCTCTGCCATATTTGAACTTGAGACCCCAGGGCCATGTAGGATTTGGTACAAAGTAGGCAGAGTCAGACACGGAGTAGTGACTGAACAACAACAAACGCAATAAATAAACAAAGTAATGGTGATATAATGCTAAAAGATTTTAACCTAATAACAGGACTGTGGCTAAAGGGTGTTCATCCCTGCCTGTTGACTGCTACTAAACAAATACACCTACCAGTAGAAATCCATGTGATGCCAAGGCCTGGTTCTTGTGGACACTGTAGATGCTTAGACAAAAGACTGCTCTTTGGAGTTACAATATGCAGAAAAGAGATTCTTTAGCATTTAAGAAACACTTCTGGTCTGAAGAAGAGGGAAAAGCTGGCCACCATCACATGTCATTCAAAAAATATTCACTGAGTAGCTACTGGGAGAGGCCCTATGCCAGGCACTGGGGAGACAATGGTTAGCAAAACAGAGTCCCTAACCTAACAGTGTGTATAGCCTAGTAATATCAATATTGTCAATTTCAATATCCATTGCTATTTATTAAATACACATTGTGTAACAAGCACTGTGGTAGGTACTTTGCATATATTAACAACACCAGGAAATAAGTACCATTATCATTTTTTTTAATTGGAGGATAACTGCTTTACAATATCGTGTTGGCCTCTGCCATACACCAACATGCATCAGCCACAGGCATCCATATGTCCCCTCCCTCCTGAACCCCTCCACCCCTCCTCCCGTCTCCCTTTCCATCCCACCCCTCTAGGCTGTCACAGAGCACTGGGTTGAGCTCCCTGTGTCACCCAGCAAACTTCCCATGCTATCTATTTCACACATGGTAATGGGTATGTTTCCATGCTATTCTCTCAATGCACCCCATCCTCACCTTCCCCCACTGTGTCCACAGGTGTGTTCTCTATGTCCGCAACTCCATTGCTGCCCTGCAAATAGGTTCATGAGGCTTAGACATCAACCTCTCTCATCCCTCCCTTTTAGGTATCTTAAAAGACACCCCACGCTCAGAGGACAACATGATCTGAACTTCTATTAAGGTATGTATGTCACTATGAGACAAAGCATAAGGAATCCACTGTATGATTTTATTTTCTTCTCCCTTGCATGGCTGTATTATTATTATTATTATATTTAATGTACAGGCAAAGGGGTAGGGTGGGGGGTGAGGCTGGTATTAGCTCCTTCAAAGACAAGGAAACCATTCAAACAGAAGGAAGCTGAAAGCTTAACAAAGAACTGTTAATAACCATTAAAAACAGTTTACAGTGTTTTATTCTCTCAGGAGAATGAGAGGGAATGGAGTTGGGGAGAAGTCAGGGGAATGGAGTTAAAGAAACAGAGAAACCAGGAGACTTGATTTCACAAGCTTTCTTTTACTTCTTGAGAGAAAGATTCACTGGTCAAACTGCAGGGGGCAGGAGTGAGAAGAATAAGAGCAATCGCCCTGTGTTTTCAAACACTCCCCTGACATCTAGACCAACCTGAGCTGGAAGACAAGCTCCCAGAAGCAGCAGCAAGAAGTGTTATCAGCACAGACGTGGACTAGCAGAAGCACTAAGGCCATGAGGGTGAAGGAAACGAATGAAGAAAATTTATCAGCTAGGAGGCTGGACAAGAACCAAGGTCTCATTATGCCATAAACACAGGGTATCAGGAAATTCGAGATCTAGTTTTGTCTCAGCTCTATTTACACCACCTCTCTGGAATCACACAGTTGACGTTGAATCACAACCTTTCTGTCTCCATCCCTCATATTACACCTGATTCTAGTCCCCATCCCCTTATTTTGAGAAATGTATTATAAACTTCATTTGAAATTTGACCATAAAGTTTATTTTAAGAACGTTCTCAGTTCTTAACACTCTCTAGTCCGTCAAACCACTCTGTGACAGACTGCCTAAAAATCAAAATAATGTTGGTCTATGGTATAGTTCTATATTAAAAAATACATAGCATAATATTAAAAAGGTTAAGCCTATCTCAAAACCCTAATTAAACATCTGTGGGGTTTTTTTGCATATTACTTGCCAGCTTTTTCCAAATGACGCTATGTAATTTTTTTTAACTCAACTGCAAATAAATACTACCTTTTAGTGATATTTTTAGTCCACATTTCATTGCCTGCTACAAAGCAGTGACCAAAGATGGAACAAAGGTCTCACCTCTGATCTGGAGGTAGTCTGACTTACCTACAAGAAGCCTTCTGAGTAGAATAAATGAATTCACATTTTCCATGGATGCAGTAACCATTGAGGTTTTCAGGGCAAGGCATGTGGTTTCCAATATAAACATCTTCCCTTTGATCACTAGCATCTTAAAAGAACATAAACCAGGTCAATAAATAATGAAAAGCAAATTGAAAGACATGGACTTTTCAAAGGCTCTAAGACAACAAATAAATTCACCCCTTGCTGGTAATTTGGGAAGGAAATTTACCAGATAGGAGGCTGGACAAGAACCAAGGTCTCATTATGCCACAAACACAGCAGGTAGACTGTTTAGATTCAAAGCATTTAAAAATATTTGCAGGATGTGACCACTGTGAGCGACTGCTGTGTAAAAACAATCAGAAAAAAAAAAAAAAAAAAAAAAACTCAACACCTTTGCTATAAAAATAAATATTACTTCCATAAGAAATCACGCCTCTGTGACGAAGAGGTGGGGTATGTAGCACTGGCTTTGGGGAACTGACTCACTCTAGCCATTCACCTTGAGGCTATGAGACTGAGGCCAGAGGAGACTGGTAAGGCAGAGAACAAGTGTGAGATTCTGAAATTTCAGGGTGAAAGGTTTACTTTGGCATGAAAACTATCAAGCATATTGATTTTTTCCCAAGTGAAAAGTTTTCTGTTCTTTTTAAATTGCTTTTCTTAGTATATGTTTCTGTAAAAAAAAAAAAATTCAAATGATATAGAGGACAAATAAAAAAGAAATTTAAAACCACCCCAAATCTCTCTGTCCAAAGAAAACCATTGTAAACATGTTAATGAGTATCTGTTTGGACTTAGGTATACTGACTTGAACTGAACTGGGTTGGGCTGAAGAAAACAGAAGGGTGGTAAGAAATTCCACTACCAAAAACGGGAAGAGTCAGGAAGCAAATTTAGAAAAGGGCAGGAAAGAAGAAGGCATGGGGATCTAGTCTTCAAAAGCAACGAGATTCTTTCATTAATTCATTCTCTAATCCTATGTCTCTTTTTCCCATATACTTGTCGTTTAGTCGCTAAGTCGTGTTACACTCTTTGTGACCCCACGAACTGCAACATGCCAGGCTTCCCTGTCCTTCATTACCTCCATACACTTACATATGCACATACTCATTTACATATTTGCACAAGCTAGAATGAATTTTTTTTTTTTTTTACTTTTTTTATGGCATTTACCTAATACATTAGTCCTCAGCTCTATGAACCCAGAGTTCCCCAATGTTTACAGGCCTGTCCATGTATAGGAAAAACTCTCAAGCTTCCTGCCATTTTATAAAATTCCAGCTTACAGATTCTGTGTATTATTCTATGAATTACAGATTCTTACTAATAACAATCTCATGTGACCTTGAGCATACCACCCTCTCTAAGCCTGAGTTTTCACAACTGTATTATGTGAGATAATTAATGCATGTACAGGCCACTAAACCCACCAGCTCTCTATGTAACACATCATGCATCAGCCAAGACTTATCTCCCCCAAATACACACACAGTGTTAATATAATCTGAATAATTATTAATAGAAACAAACTAAGAAGGAATGCAATAAAAGACTATGTGTATATATAGATACCAATAAGGAAGGGAGAACTGGGAACAGGTGTACCAAGTGTGAAAAAACTGAGAACTGAAAATGCAGGTTTTTCTGGAGATCAAAATTTACACATGAAAGGAGAATCTTTTTGACTATTTATCTTAATGATTATTAAGTTCAAAGATAGTGTAACTACAGCCAAGAGGGTTTGTCATCCTTAACAAGACCAAATTCATGCCACTTTACCTCAAATTTTATGTATTTACAATGTGCAAATTTATGCATAGAAAGAGAACTAAACTAAGGAGAAATCCAACAGAGAAGATCTCAGTTTTAAGGGTATCTCTGCTATTGTGTGTAACCTTAAATCAAATAATTTCTTCTAAGAGAGCTGAATGAGATCAGCAAAGTCTATCAGTAGTATAATACACTGGTCTTCCCTGGTGGTCCAGTGTTAAGAATCCACTTGCCAATGCATATGTTCGATCCCTGGTTCAGGAATATTCCACATGCAGAGGTGAGCACCACAACTACTGATGCCTGCGCACCCCAGAGCCAGTGCTCCAAAATGAGAGAAGCCACTGCAGTGAGAAGCCAGCCCACCACAACTAGAGAAAGCCCATGAGGAGCAATGAAGACCAGCGTAGCCAAAACAAATAAATAAAGTAATTTTTTTAATAAACCAAACAAAATGCTGATAATAAAAAGGATGTATAACACAAGACATAATCTTTTATTTTCTAGTAGTCGTATTTTCAAAAAGTAGACAAGATAATTTTGATCATATATTTTATTTAACCTAATATATCAAATAAATAGCATTTCAACATATATTCAGATAAATTATGATAGTTTATATTCCTTTTTCTTAAATAGGTCTACAAAATCTGGAGAGCACTTCACACAGGACACCTCAATTCCAACTGGTCACATTCCAAATACTCAACAGTCACATGTGGCTAGTAGCCACCATGCTAGATAGCACAGAATAGGTGGCTTACTCATTTATCATTTATTCATCACCTTCCATATGCCAGGGGCTCTGCTAGGTGCTTGGATAAAAAAACAGCTAAGATACATCCTGTCCTCAAAGGGCTTACAGGGGCTCCTCCAGCTCCCAAACCATAATTACGCTGTGGCAAAGAAATCAAGCCTTCTTCTGGGCTGCTACAATCCTGAGCACCCACTTCTGTGCTATAATACAACACTGTCATAACTATTTAGGTATTTAAATTGGTCTCCGCCATGAGACCATGAACTCCCTGAGGATCTAGATGCCTGTACTGTCCATTTCTGTATAACTCCTGACACTTAGAACATATTAATGTTCTTGCTATGGTTTCAAACCAAGAGTAGTATTCGACCTTTGCAATCAAGCCATGAGGTGACTTGAGGAATGCAACTGTCTCCCATAGTGCTTATCATCCTGCAACTTCTCAAAACATGATATTTTCAGGCTGTGACATACCATGAAATATATAATAATGGGACTATAGAGACTGAGGTGAGGTACCAACCTATAGAAATAAAGTTGCATAAAGTATATAACAGACCACACTGGTCCACAAAAGCTGTGGTAATGTACTAACCTACCATAAGAAAGTCCTAAAAACAGCAAAAAAAATGCAGAGCTGAAAGTGATCAGAGAATTCAGATGCATGATAGCAATAAGAAAATTAAGAATGGGTTATGAGAAATGAATAAAGAGTACAACACCAATACCATTCACTGAATGATTAATGAAAGAAAGTGGTATCAAGCTCTAGACAAAGCAAAACCATATAAAAGTGGATGTGTCTATTAAGACTTTGAAATCTCTGTCTGTCACAGAGTCCAAATTCAGCATTTTGCTCAATGCCAACACTATTCATTCCATTACACTTACATACTGTTTCTGTGCACATCCATATGCTCAGCTAAGCTACAGAGGGGGTAAGGGAAAAGTGGTCCCAGTCCCTGCCCTCAAGATGTTTATCAACATACACACACGAAAAGCTGAACAACACAAGAGGAGAGGGCCCACGAGATAGCATACAATAAAACACCAAAAGAAGGTTTTATAATACTAGGTGCTACGGAAGTTCACGTTCAAATGAGAACTTCATTTTAGGAAGAATAACCCAGGGAAGGACTCATAGAGAAGGGAGCACTCAAGTTAGGTCTCAAAGCATGGACAGATTCAGATAGTTGAATGCTGGAAACCAAAAAACAGGTATAAGGCACCTGTTCTCACTCTCAAGAACAAAAGGTAAGTGGACCTAGCAATAACTGTACATTCAGACTGTGCAAGGGTTTAAGTGAAAGTTGGAAAAATAAGTTGAAGTCAGAGCATGGAAAAATTTAAACCTCGGGTGAGAAACTTTTTCTTAATCATATGGACAAGGAGGACCCAGCTGGAAAGCAACACAAGCAAAGCCATGTTTTACATAAGAAGGTAACTGAGAGTGGTTACCTAGGGGTAGGGCTGATGGTTAGGGGGGAATGGGGAGTGACATGGCTGTGAGGTTTATTTTCAGGGTAATGAAAATGATCTAAAATTAGACTATGATGTGATGCTAGTACAATCCTGTAAATATACTAAAAGAAAAAAAACCCACTGAATTACATTATTTAAACAGGTGAACTTAACAGTATGTAAATTATATCTCAAAAAGTTATTGAAACTAATTAGAAGACAAAAGGAAGATAGGATGACCAACTAAGAGGTTACTACACAATCCAAACTGTGGCACTGGTTCAGTCTGAGCTCAGAAGTAGGAGCAGATAATAGAAACACAGAAAGAAAAAAAATAGCGTCAACATGCTTTGGAAAGTAAATGAAACCAGAAACTGAGATGTGTGAGGGTCTTTGGAGGTCATTTGGTCTAACGAAGGAATTTCTTTAGTTACAACCCCATGATCCTGTTTCTACTTAAACACATTCAGAGATAAGGAACTCAATATAGTATCAGTTCAGTTCAGTCACTCAGTCGTGTCCGACTCTTTGCAGCCCCATAGACTGGAGCACGTCAGGCCTCCCTGTCCATTACAAACTCCTGGAATTTACTCAAACTCATGTCCATTGAGTCAGTGATGCCATCCAACCATCTCATCCTCTGTTGTCCCCTTCTCCTCCCACCTTCAATCTTTCCCAGCATCACGGTCTTTTCCAGTGAGTCACCTCTTCACATCAGGTGGCCAAAGGATTGGAGTTTCAGCTTCAGCATCGGTCCTTCCAGTGAATATTCAGGACTGATTTCCTTTAGGATAGACTAGTTGGATCTCCTTACAGTCCAAGGGACTCTCAAGAGCCTTTCCAACACCACAGTTCAAAAACATCAATTCTTCAGCATTCAGCTATCTTTATAGTGCAACTCTCACATCCATACATAACTACTGGAAAACCATAGCTTTGACTAGATGGATCTCTGTTGGCAAAGTAACATCTCTGCTTTTTAATATGCTATCTAGATTGATCAAAACTTCTCTTCCAAGGAGCAAGCGTCTTTTAATTTCATGGCTGCAGTCACCATCTGGAATGATTGTGGAGCCAAAAAAAAATAAAGTCTGACACTATTTCCATTGTTTCCC